CCTCTCTCTCTCTCTCTCTCTCTCTCTCTCTCTCTCTCTCTCTCTCTCTCCCTGTATGCGTTAAAAACTGTAACGGGCGTCATCTTAGCAAAAGTAAAAATACCAGCAACATTTATAAGGATCAATCATTCGTCTTAAGCCTCAAGAAAGCGATGACACCCAGTCTCCTGGCGGGGCAGATACAAAAGTCCCATTAAATTCTGAGCATAAGGGCAATGGACAATGCGGACCCCCCCCCCTCTCCTAAAACCCAAGTGTCACTTCTGAAAACCGTTTGTGTCAACGAGAGCTTTGGATTATAAGACCCGGTAGTGGACTGGAAAACATCTAGAAGAACAGATTTCCGTTATAAAAGATGAAGTTAACCATTACCAGTTTGCCCATTTTATGGTTTATGAGTGCAGACTGGCACTTTGGGAATTAAGAGCTACATCGGTGCAAGTCCATGTCAATCTTTATATCGCCCAAGCCCACTTTTGTCACCTTTAAGATGCTAACATTTTTGTACCATCCATCTACATGTACTCTAAAAACAGGGCATCAAATATTACCTGTGAATACCCTGGTGATCCCAGCGCCCACCAAAATTGCTAAATCGCCCATTATGGGTCATATCACCCAGGTTGGCAAGCATTGAGCTAGATTTTTTTTCAAGTGGAGAAGTTGAGGTGTACAACATGTACGCTTTTCACGTTGACGTGTCGTCCCCTCTTTCATTCATTCTTTCTTCTTCCGCCTTTTTTACTCTTTCCTCCGAATCAAGGGATCCGCCTTCAAAACGACTTTTCCATGTCAAGTTGGGCAATAAACCACGCATCTTCCTACTCTCAACCCCAACCTAGTACGGACATGTCCACACCTCTATCACTGTCACTCATTGTTTCGCTTTTAGGACGCAGGATCTACGTCTAATACAGTATTTATTTGTTTGTTTGTTTGAGTAAAGAGAAGCACATCGACAAAATAACGGTCGTTTAGTGCTGCACACAAGAAAGACGTACAGACAGAAACAATAGAGGGAAAGTAAAGAAGTAGACCTACCAGTGGCACCCTCCAACCACCCGCTCGGTATTTATCAAATCAGAAAAACGACGACGACAGTGAAAAGAACACACAAAACACACCACAAAGGAATACAATATAGAAATATACACGTCAACAGATTTAATCACTTTGGGGGAGCAAAGAGAGGTGTTGTCGCAATATATGACAATGGCTTTGACAGAAATGACACTCACGTAATGGCATCGTGGTGCTGCATGACAGCAAGAATGTCCCCTGGAATGAAAATACGGACAGAGAAATGATTATTTATATCAAAAGCAGCTTTGTGATGACAGCCTTAGAACGTCATGGCATTGAGCAATGGCTATTAAAGGTTTCAAAAAGTTTCGCTGTGCGGAGCAATAATGAGGTTGTGGGCTACACAAAACTTCTACTTCTTCTTAGCTTTTCCAGCACTTGGGCGTTGCTTCTCTCACCTTCGTGGAAGGAAAATACCCCGTCTCTTACCATTTTGCAAAACTAGAAAGAAAAAAATTTAAGCCAGCAATTTGGAACACAAGAGTCTATTGTAACTTGATTGTAAATGTTTCACCACCTCCAACAAATATGGAAATATTAAGTTGTTGAAAATTATATAGGAAAAGATTGCACAACAAAGAATAATAATAGACAGGTTTCGTTACATATAAAAAATTATCACAAGGATGGCATACAGATTTTGGCAAAAGTTGACATTGATAAAAGAGGCATTTTTGTCCCTGAAAGAAAACAGTCAAATCAAAGTACCTAAGACAGGTCAATAATTAAAAACAAAAAGATAAAATTATTTTTTAGGAATATCATCCATTTTTATTGGCGCGAGTTTGATCTGTCATTTCATAAAAAAGCCCCATACTGCACAGATCATCGACCAGTGAGGTTGGGTTTTAAATCCTGTACAAACAGCTGGGCAAATATCCTCTACAACTGTTACATAGGAGTGTACCATTACATTAGTAGTTGAAACTGTCCACAACGACCACCCTTAGTAAAGGAGAGAAGTGATCACCTTAGACAGGAGGTCATCTTGGACAGTGTCATTAAGTACAACAACAACAACAACAACAAAAAACTGTAAGGGTGAAGTGGAAAGTGGTCGTTTGTACAGGTGCTTGTCTTTGACAGGCGGTCGTTAGAGCAGGTACGACAGTACTTGAAATTTTCATTGTACCGTTGTTGACACGATAAAACAGTCCTTGGGTCACTATTAAGAGATTTTTGCTTCTGACGCTCCTCAAATTTTTTTATTCCATGTTTCTAACCACTGTAATTGTGAATTCTCCCTGTGAGATGAATAAAGATTGTCATTGTCAAGGTGTGAAGTGCAAAATCGATGCTGAGAAGAAACATTGGGAAGATAGCTCTGAGTACTCACGTAGTACGTTTATCTTGTGAAAAGTTCCATCCAGACCCTTGAAGATGGACAGCTGCTTGCAACTCTGTAAAAAAAAAAGATCCATAGGGAAAATTTAATTCTCAATGACTTCAATAAGCCCGAAACGGGACATATAATAACGTACGTTATAAGACACTACTACCTGTTGAGCTAAAGGCACACCCGATCCATCTTCTCAATGATCCATTTGTATTTCTTCTTTTGTTTGTCTGAGACAGAAGCACACAGACATAATAACTGTAATTTAGAGCAGGACAAAGGTAAGAAAAACAAACAGAAACGAGTCAGAGAGAGACAGAAAAGAGTTGGGACCTACCAGTGGT